TTTGGGTTTATGGTGAAGATGTAGGACCTCATGTTGTGTTTTCCATCACCCAAAAGGTTTTTTTCCCATGTCCAAGACAATTGCCAGTCATTTGAACCCGTGTCTAAGACCTCCGGACAATCTAGTGATGACAACCTTCCCGTGAACTCTAGCATTTAGAGGTTGCCGCCGTGATGAAGAGACGACAGCGCCGAGTGTTGATGATTGTGCACGTTCTTTGCACCAGATGGTCCCAACCCCACTGGTTAAGAGAGCGAGTGATTTATTCTTGCTTTGCATGTCATATCTTACCTCGGTGAGGACCATTGTTTCCCATTCATATGTTCCTTGGACTTGAACTCTATGCATGGTTAGTTGTAGTTGATGAGTGATCTTGTTGAGACTTGCATTGATTCGTGAACAAGGTGAGAACTTTTTGTTTGCTCGTTTTGGTTGCCTCGAATGTCGTTTGTGGTTGATGTTGGTATCGCTTGCAATGGTCCATGTGTTAATTGCCAATAGCCATTGAGATTTCCCACTTTGCGCCCTTTAAGTTGTCCCCAAAATATTTTGTTAGGTTGAAACATTACCTTGTGTGAAATGGTTTGCTTGGGGACAAGTAAACGTCTAGGTGTGGGAGAGTGATTCGGACCTAAATGTACACTTTTTGTCCCCGTTTCTTTTTGGCATTTGAGCTCCAAAAGGGTGGTTTTATGCTAGGATTGCTGTGGTTCAATGTGTTTTAGAATCTAACAGGTGGAACCAACCCCTGAGTCGAATGTTGGAAGAAAAGGCATGAGGACTGGGCAAAGAGGAGGAAGCAACCGTTGTTCACGATCCAAGTTGTAAGTTCACGGTTGCCAAGACCGTGAACTGGAGCCACAAACCGCGAACTGAAGGGTGTCCATAGAGGTTTCATAGGTTACTGACGCCGAGTCAGTTCATGGTCGTAAGACAGTGAACTGAAGCCATGGACAACGAACTCAACAAATGAAGCAGTGCGTTTTGGCTGTGCTCACGGTCCAGGCCAGATGTTCACGACCGTGAACTGGGACCGCGAACTGTGCTTGATCAGTGTATAAAAGGAGAGCTGAAAGGAGGAAGAAAGAGAGCCCAAAGTGAGAGAAACCTTCTTCTTCTTGAAATCCTAGAGAGAGAAAGCCAGGTACCAAGAGAGAGAAGAGGCTAGGGTTTGCTCCAAGACAAGATTTGGGAAGTCCTCTTCAAGAGAGGATTGCTACAAGCACAAGGAAGGATCGAGGCATCACAATGATGGTTTCCCCCTTTTCCTTTGTGTTCTTCCTTCTTCTAGCATGGAGTAGTCTCCAATTCACTTGGGTGTTGTAGAATCCTAACTTCTACCATGTAGTTGATTGTGTGGATTAAATGTTTGTGTGTGGGTGATGTTTAATTTAAGATTTGAGGTACTGTTCATGATGATTGTTCATTGTGTGTGCTTGGCAATCTATTGTGCTACTCTAACCTAGCTTAGAGAGAAGCCCCATTATGTTAAGAGGCTCAAATTGAGCTGGGTCTTCTGAGGCATTCCATGCCTCCTAACTAGGTTAAGTTAGGGCAAACCTCTAAAATCAAATTAGACACCTAGGTTAATTGTGATTAAGCTGTCCAAACCTCTCTTTGAGGGAGAAGGTAAGTCAACCCTCAAGTGCTTGGGCCAAGAGGGCTACAATCGTAGCCTATAATGCATTCCTTGGCCTAGAGATTGAGAGTGAGGGTTCCAACCACTGTTGCTCCTCCTAACGGTTCGCAATGTCCATGGTAGTTAGTTAGGGGGAAACAACTCCCTAGTGAAGCTTCTCACCAAGAGCTTCAATCATTTTACTTTTCAAGTCTTGCATTTTTAATCGTAGATTGTAGAGATTCTGACAAACTTCATTCCGCTAGATAGTGTTTCGAACAATCGAAGTAGGGGTACATGGACCGGCACGAGTTGATATTTAAACATACTTGCCCTATATTGCACCCATTTAAGGTTTATACTTGGGCCTTAGGTGGGATTTAAGTGTGATATTCAGAGTGAGTCACTGTATTTCTCAAAAAATGGCTATTAGTGTCACAAACGCTAAAGTTTTGGTTATACAAATGTATTTTTCCTTATTAATAAGTTAAATTATATGAACAATTAAAATTTAAGAACAAAATAATATGATATTTGAGCTCGAGTCAAACTGGTGAGCTGATTGATTAGGCGCGAATGCGCGATATTGAGTAAAGCTTGTGAGCCAAGGTTGTCAACCTAGTCTAGCCCGTTGCCCGACCGAGTAAGTGGGTTGAGGGTAATGGTCCGACCGCTTTAACCCAGTTTATCTCGGATATATGAAAAAGTCATTATATTATTTATACATTTATAAATTATATCAAATCTCATCTAACATATGAATAATAACATATAACATGTCGTACTTAGATCCAACATATAGTGAAATTTCACACATACTTATGTAACATTAATATTCGAATGTTCAACTTAGTATTCCAGAGATTGAGTTAGGTGAAAAAGAAAATCGGAAAATAGGCACAATTCGTAAACCAAAGAAAAAACGATACAATTTGACCTCTAACTCAATACATTGTAGTGGTCGACTCAACAGATATATACGACTTGTTTTTCTCACTAAAACAGTATTAAAACTAGTGTGGGCCCGACCAGTTGGCCGGAGGAAGGTGAGGTATGAAATTTGATAATATAATGGGGTGTATAGCTTATTGTTGTATAGTTTTTTTAGGGAAATTCATGATAAAAATAGTGAATTTTAGCAGGAAAGAGACATGAATGATGCAATGAATCAAAAATCGGCTTTAAGAACCAAAATCAAGTACATGTTACCTTGTGAAACAATATTGTTTCTGGTAATATGATGAGGTGGAGTAAGTTTTATAGAAACCGAATTTCAGAAAATCGAATAAAAAATCGCCTATCCCGTCGATTTTCGGGAAATGAGCATCTCACATCGTTGCTAGCTTTTACTCGGCCCGTTGGTCGATTAATTTACTTTATAAAACTTTCATCTTGTCGTCATTGTGCTTTCTGGTTTTTGTTAGGCCATGATAAAATCTAAGGAAATCAAGAACGAATAACACAATTTGGGATAGGAACCGCCATTGTCGTATCCTAGAAAATGGTGGTAAACACAGACTCACCTGCCAAACTGGTTTGGATTGAGATTTTTATCGGATATCAGGGAACCATGTGATTATAAATTAGACTTGATCAAAACGGGCCAAAACTTGAAATTCAGCATGTTTGACCGACCCATGCCAAATTCTAATTATTCTTTACTTTTAAACTTTCTATTTGAAAATAAAAAATAGTGAAAGAAAAGAGATGACTGCAATTCGCCATTTGCACATCACTTATTCGAGAACAAAACCATAAAAATTCAAAAGGAACTGAAAATGTCTAGGATCGTTTTAATGTTTAAAATAACCAAATAGATCGTTCTGTTTAGTTTTTTACTAACAAATACCAAACGATTCCCTATAAAATACACTATAATTTGATCATTATGATATCAAATAATTATATAATATATATTTGAAATTAGGGATGGCAATTTCGACCTGACCCGATTTACCCGACCTGTTTGACCTGTTTTGTAGCAGGTCAAACCCGCCCCGTAGGCGGGGCGGGGCGGGCATGGGTACCTCTCATCGACCCGACCTGCCCTGACCCGCCCCATTCTCGACCCGTTCTTGCCTATATTACATATAATCTTAGTCAAATTACTTAGGATTTTCCTCTTATTACATTATATTTTAGCTATAATAAAGTTGTAAATAAGTGAAAACCTCAATTTCTTTAATAATTTAACTACATTTTATCATATTATGGTTTCTTTCTTGATCTTTTAATGAAAATAACGAATGTTTCTAATGTTTTTCGCATAATTACATACCCAACGGGTCGACCTGCCCCTACCCGCGCCCCGTGATAAATTACCCGACCTGGACCCGACCTGCCATGGGGCGGGTATGGGTATCGAGATACCCGCTCCGGACCTGCCCCATTGTCATTCCTATTTGAAATGATAAAAATTGGACTAATTGGGTTGGTCGAGGTTGAACCATTGAATAACTTTAAAATACATTATATTTTAGCCACTAAGATATAAAATAATAGCATAATATATATTATGCTAGAGAAAATAGTTTGTTTTAGAATGACAAACCAATGATGTTCATTTGTTTTACTTGATAGCCAAATCCCGTGTAGGTCAGACCCATTCAACTCTTTTATTTTATGCTTAGCGGTTAGCCCATTAGATACCATGCATTAGTTTATTGTTAAATTTTTTATTTTTAGCAATAAAAATGAGTATTGTTTTTGCCTTTTCATATTTATTTTATCACCAGGGAGAAATAAAAGGGCTTAAAGAAAAAAATTGACACTCCTGGACCCGTTTAAATCCGCATGTGTACGGTAAGTTGGCCCGTTCCACAGAGGAAAGAGAAAAAAATTGACACTCCCTATTCTACCCTTCCTACAAACGCTCCTGAAGCAGGGAATTTGAAATGGGGGAAGGATTTTGTCCTCCCTACTATTATATGTTTTTAATTTAAAAAGATACAATAAATATACTTAGTATGATTGACTATGATCCTTTCTTTTCTTCAAAATGGTCATCAGTGTATTATATTATGTGCAGATGAGTCAACCCGCAGGTTGACAACCTTGTGAACTCATCACCTTACGAATCCTTTTTTTTTTTGGCGAGACACCTTACGAATCCTTGATATAGGCTTAATTGCAAGTTTGGTCACTCGAATTGCTATAAAATTTCACGTTTGCCACTCAAATTAATTTATTCCATTTATAGTCACTCGAATTAGTTGAACAGTTCAAGTTCGGTCACTCTCCGTTAACCTCCGTTAACTTTGACTGACGTGGCGGTCAACTCTGACAGTTGACCGTTAAATGTGTGACGTGGCAAATAAAAAATAATTAAAAAATAAAAATTAAATTTTTAGAAATTAACTTCAGAACACCAAAGTGATGGTAATTAGCAATAAGAAGAAGGAATTCTCCCTTCGGAGAATCTGTTCCCCTGAAGATACAATCTTTTCAAATCCCCCAATTCCCCAATCTCTTCTGGAACAGAGCCCGAAAACTGATTGTTGCTCAACTCCAACCATTCCAATTTCTTCAAATTCGACATCCCTCGCGGTATTCTCCCTGTTATCTTGTTACCCTTCATCCGCAGACTCGAAACCTCTGTAAAATTAACGACCGATTCCGGCAGCGATCCGCCGAAATTGTTGAAACCCAGAGAAACCAACTGTAAACTCGACAGATTGCTGACACTGGAAATGAAATCGAGATCACCCGCTTCACCGGTTCCAAGCAAGTTATATGAAATGCTCAGCCACCAAAGCTTTTGCAGCTTCTCAAAGGACGGCAGAGTTCCAGAGATTCCGTTATCAGTAATAGTTAACCTCTCCAAGTTGGAAGCATTGGCCAACGAAGCAGGGATCGTCCCGGTGAACTGATTTTCTCCGATGTTGAGCTCTGCGAGATTCGGCCAAACGTTCCCCAATTCAGCGGGGAGCGTCCCCTGAAGCTGATTCAGGGGAACATAGAGATAGACGATCGAAGAAATGTTGTAGATGGAAAGCGGGAAGATTCCCGTCAAAGAGTTGCCTCCCATTGAGAGTACAGATAGCCTCTCGAGGCGGCCGAGCGATTCGGGGATCGTTTCTCCGAGGCTGTTGAAACCCATTCCGATTGTTTCCAGAGAGGAAATGTTGCCGAGCGACGGCGGGATGCCGCCGGTGAGATTGTTCGATTCGAGGTTCAGATACCGGAGCTTCGTAGTATCGAGCCGGTCGGGAATCTTCCCGACCAGCTTGTTGATTCCGAGGTCAAGGTAGATGAGTTCAGACCAGGCGGAGACATTCCGCGGGATTTCGCCTGTGAGGAAATTGGTGTTCAGATGGAGCACCTGGAGGCTTGCCAAGCTGCCGATTCCGGGCGGGATTTCACCAGTGAAGCTGTTGTGGTGGAGCAGGAGTTGCCGGAGAGAAGTGAGATTGGCGATGGATGGGGAAATTGTGCCCTGGAGGAGACGATTGCCGAGGTCGAGCCAGGTGACTCTTTCGTCGTTGTCGCAGGTGACCCCTGCCCATTTGCAGAAATGGAGTGAAGAAGAAGAGGAAGAGTTGTTGTGGTTGGTCCAGGAGCTGAAGATTCCAAGTGGTTCTGAAGTTAATTTCTAAAAATTTAATTTTTATTTTTTAATTATTTTTTATTTGCCACGTCACGCATTTAACGGTCAACTGTCAGAGTTGACCGCCACGTCAGTCAAAGTTAACGGAGGTTAGCGGAGAGTGACCGAACTTGAACTGTTCAACTAATTCGAGTGACTATAAATGGAATAAATTAATTTGAGTGGCAAACGTGAAATTTTATAGCAATTCGAGTGACCAAACTTGCAATTAAGCCTTGGATGTTCATTGTTAAGGCCAACGTCAAGCATACAGTTGGGCGCGTTGTGGAAAGCCCATTCATTCTGCCCCTAGCTTGAGCCCACTTATAGCCTGGAGGAAGAAAAAGACAAATTAACAACGAAAAAAACTTTCAAAAACCCTCAAAGGATCGTCGTCCTTGCTCTCTGCTAAAACCCTTCTCCTCCTTTGCCTACAAGAAGCGAAGTTCAAAGACCTCCCGGAACATCTAAAGTAACCTTCTTTGCTGGCTGCCCGGAGTTCCCATCTGAAAGCTCTCTTCCAATTCAACCATTAGAGAATTGAAGTACAACCTGAAGAGAGGGAAACAACCATGTCGGAGAAGCGGCAAAAATCGGTATGTCCCGCCTGGGGGAACTATAAGGAGTTGCAGGAGCTGGTGAGGCACCACATCGAGTCGTTTGACTACATGGCTGCCAGAGGGCTCGAAGTTATGATGGAGAATATCAAACCTGTCAAGATTTATGACCCGGCAACCGACACCACTCTTTCTCATATCCTTTTTGTGTTCATTGCGAATACTGCTTTTGTGAATATGGTTATTTTCCTTTTGTAGTGTAATTAGGGCAACGGTGTTTGCATTTTGTTGGGGATTCAATTCGTAACTGGTCGGGTGAAATGAAAAGCTTCTGTCTTTTCATCTCAAATGAACTTGTTTGTGGAAGTACATGTGAATTGTTGACGAATATGATGTTATTTCTTGACTCTCATGATTGGGCACTGTCTTTGAGTAATCCTAAGCTGCAGTTGCCTCAGAAGGAAAGGTTCAGGACAAAGCACAACGCACTCTATCCTTTTGAAGTAAGTAATTTGTAATGCAGGTGAGGTCCAAAATGCTCCAGCGTTTGCTCTTCAAATGTTCTTACAGTGTTTATTTTTGTTGGCAACAGTGCAGACAAGCAAAGATTTCATACACAGGAAAGTTGATAGCGGATGTGTGCTTTCAGTATGACAAGAAAGCTGTTATAAGAGAGTCTTTCAACTTTGGGCAGCTTCCTATCATGCTAAAGGTGATGACTTTCTTTGCATAGGTTCCTCAATCCACTTTGAAAATGTTGTCAATTTTGGTTTGTCGAACATAGCAAACGAGCATTACACTACTGTAATGGCTGAAGCTAGAAAACCTGAATGCAAAGTGTGAATATTGCAACTCATTACTTCAAAAGATCCTCGTTCTTGAATTGTTTGTCTTTTTCATTTCTTTTAGTAGGATATCTATGGCATCTTGCTTTTCTTGTTGCCGATTAATAACTCGTGTATATAGACAGCGAATGCCATGCTTTCAAGTCCTTGGTTGCTTAATGCTGACATGTATGTTATATCCAACGCAGTCAAGTCTTTGCCACTTGCGAGGTGCTGATCCAAAAAAATTGGTGTCTCTCAAGGAAGAGTCTGCAGAATTAGGAGGGTAAGTACACTTCTCAGTAATGCGATGTCAATCACTTCAAAATTTAACTTATCCTATAACTTTTGGACTACTTGTATGAAAAGCTTGTATATATTACTAGAATACAAGTGCTGGAGAGAGAGAGTCAGAGAAGCATGATCTAGTTTAGGTCATTCTATCGCGTCATACCTTATAATGTTTCCTGTGTCTCGTCTTCATTTGAGTTATTATCCAACACATTCTGTGGAGCTTGAGCTTGCTTGTCTTTTAGTTGACTCCTATGATGTTTCATGCACAAAAACGTAGTTCTGCTTGTGTGCTATCAAATTAAAGTGATTAAAACTGTAATTGTGACTGTCTTCCCTTGGAAGCTATTTCTTTAATTGCATTTTTGGTTAGCCAAGATCGTTATGAACCACTTTCTGCTGGGTTCAAGGACACAGAATTACAGTTCCGTCTTATGCGATAAAGTCGGTTTGCTTCTTTGTAGATCTCGTTTTTTTATCAACCATAATTGAGTCTTCTATGTTTATAATGTTAATTGTGGGGCTTGGAGAAGTCAACTAAAAGCCACTACCCATCCCTCCTGCAATTCTTTTTCACTATTCAGCCCTATAATCCTTTTTTTTGTTCTTTTCATTGTATAGGTATTTCGTTTTGAATGGGCTTGAAAGAGTCGCTCGACCTTTGATATTGCAGAAAGCAAATTATGTAAGTCGCATGAGTATTGAATTTGACTGATATCCTTTTATGGTGCAAAAAAAAAAAAAAAAATGCTTCTTGTGTTCAAATATCTACAGAGTAGTAAGCACAACACATTTTTTCTTAATGGAAGTAACATTACTTTGTTCCCCTAAAAAAGTTCCTTCTGATAATTGCTTATCATCACTTTCCTATCAGCCAATGAGTACAGTGAGGGATTCATTTCGTGATCGGCGAGAAGGTTTCACTGATAAGGCAGTTGTGATAAGGTACTTCCGTTAACTTATTCATAAATGGAAGCTCTTACATGTCTTTTAAAGGTATATTGCTTCCAGTTTGAGGTGAGAAAAAATGGATCAAAGAATAGTTGTGCCTCCATCGACCATGACATGGATTTCAGATTATAGATCCAGGCCTTTTTATGACTCCAATGAAGGCGATAAGATGGAACAGATATTAGAACATATAGAAGAGATCCAGGTGGAACAGTAGGGATGAGCTTGTAGGTGGCTTTGATGCGCTGATATGAATAAATATAGTTGCCTGGAGTTGAAAAATCTTAAGCCCCCTTCGTATTCGTTAGAACATGAACCGCGCACTTGCAACTATGAAACTTTGTGTTTACTTTATTAATCTTGCTAAATTCATATTGTCCCTTCCTTTGTTGTTAAACCAGGTGTTTGAGGGAGTTCCAATCTTCGTTAACTGATCAATCTTCATTAACAGTTAAACTGTATTACCTTCGTAATGGAAGTGCAAGACTTGGATTTTGGTAAGCTTTCTTAAACTAGTCCTCATAATGATCATTTTCAGGGTTAGATGATGTATTGAACATATTTGTGCTTCCTGCTGTGCAGGATACAAGGACGTGAGTATCTGGTTCCTGTTGGAATTGTTCTGAAGGTATTACATTGCTTTCTGATGATTGAAGTGGTATTGTTTATTTTTCATAAACTGTTGTTTTCAAAGCTCGGTGAAGCATCTATACTTTTTATCTTTCGCTTCATCAGTCTGGCTAGCCTATGCAATTTTTGCACAATGATGATCATTATCCCTGTCTTTAAGAAATAACGTTACTGAATTTATTTCGTTTTGGCTTCCATATCTTTTATCTCTTGGTATGCATGATGAATGATGCTTTCTTCTTAGAAGCTTATTGTTTTGTTACTGATTCTGGTGACAGGCCTTCATTGAGACGTATGACCAGGAAATTTATCAGCAATTGATATCTTGTAATAGTGATGGGCATGAGAAGGGAAAGGGAGCAGTTGGCTCGCAACTAGTTGGTGAAAGAGCGAAAATTATTCTTGAAGAAGTCCGAGATTTGTCCCTTTTCACACAGGATGACTGTCTGCGCCACATTGGTGATTATCATAATCTTGCTGCTTGTCAGAGTTAGTAACTGCGTCAACACTTCGATTGTTTCTCAAGTGGAATCTGTCTTATGCAGGGGAGCACTTCAAACCTGTAATGGAGGGCTTTGAGAATGAAGAACCATTAAATGTAGGATACAAATTTAAAGCTTGGTTGTTTCTATTTTACTATGTTTAAATGGGAAAGACGGTATGATTTACAAGCATTTGAGGGTCCGTGGATGACTCTCCTCTGACTATTGTGTCCTGTCTTTTCTCTGTAGGTGGGACATGCAGTTCTGAAGAATTACATATTTGTCCATCTCACTAATTATGATGACAAGTTCAATCTGCTTATGTTAGCATTCCCTCCTTTTTCGTTACATTTCTATTTTGATTTTGTTCTCCTGTACTGGTTGGTGTTAACTTTACTTCTTTAGCTTTATGCTGCAGAAGCTTTTCTCTCTAATAGACCAAACATCATCACTGGACAACCCAGATGCCTTGCAGAATCAGGAGGTCTTGCTCCCGGGTCACATCATTACCATTTATATGAAGGTTTGAATTCTTTTCATTGCTCGTACAAATTAGATGTAGGAACCTAAATTTTGGATTACGTCCAGGTATGAGGTAACGGAAATGTGGCTAAGTTGTAACTTTATGATGCGGTAAGAGTTGGTGTTTAGTTTCCTGATTAAGACTACAGAGTCAATACCTTTGGCTTAAATGAGAGGCTCAGATGGCTTATCAGTTTGTTCATAGTTCATCTTAGACAATTGGTTGTCTGATCTGTTTTTGCTGGAGTCTGGCCTGAAATTTTATGTCAAGGAAAAGTACTGATGTCTAAAGTGAATTTACTTCTTTACACCTAAAGGTCTTCTTTTATTCATGCATTCATTCTTTTTTTTCTTCTTTTGGGAAGGATTCCATCTCATTGAGATGTACCGTTTCTACCCTCTTCTTACAAAAATGCGTCTTGAAAAATTGCTCGTCTCTAGAAAAGAACAAGAGAGAAGTCCACTTAGGCCTGGGAGGACCGTCATTTACTAGTATTGTGATGTTCATTGACTGCTTTTTGAGAACCCGTCTTCCCACAGTCAATGTGTTTTGCTTGTCATTATCTTGATGATTTTTGTTTTTGTTCTAGGAAAAACTTGAAGATTGGTTACGCAAAGCTAAAAAACTTGTTCAAGATGAGCTTGCGAAGCCCAACCGGTTTAATTTCTTGTCAGGTGCGAATAGCCATTTCTCTACC